GCCTTGGCCTCCCAAAGTGCTGGGATTACAGGCATAAGCCACTGCACCAGCCTGTCTTTGAGTCTAAGCCTTGAGTGGCTACAAGCAGCAATTTTCCAAGAACATCCATTTGTATTTCTCAACCTCTCAGAGTCCACGTGGGTAACTCTCAGGCAAGGCCCATTCTGCAGCCTGGCATTTGTCATTCTGCGGGGTAGTACCGGGCTCTCTGCCCAGTCCAGAGGCTGTGCCACGCCAACTGTGCCCTGTTTACCAGATTTCTCACCCTGGATGTGCACAGGGCTTCATGGGCTACACTCACAGAAAACAAAATGTTAATAATAATAGTTTCCGGCCTCCAGGCCCAAGTCATGCCAGCGCTGCATCCAACTCTATAGAGATTTTGCAGCAGCGGCTCTGGAATTTACATGGGTTCACTGCCCAGTGGTCAGGTCAGTTACACAAAGAGCCTGGTGGTTCTGGAATCCAGGAGCATGTGACGGAGAACAGGCAGAGTGAGGCACTAACATTCACCAGGGTTCAGAGGCCACTTGACTCATGAGGCTGAGGCGGACCCGAGACTAAGACTCACGTCACCTCCAACAGCAACAAGCCTGTCAACCAACTGTCCTGCTGGGCAACTCACCCGGTAAGGGGTAAGGTAGACGGTGCCTTTCTTGGTCCCTTTGAAGGCTTCTGGCACGTTCTTCATGTCATTGAATGTGAGTTCCACATGATCATAGGACATTAGGATGCTGTGATGAGAAAAGAGGAAAAGCCTTGATGAGACAGTATGGAGATGCGATGTCACCCAGACACTGGGCCTTTCTCCCAAGCAGCTGCCCGGCACATCAGCTCTCATAACCTCTCAACAGTGCTGCATTAAAACCATTCATAGGGCCGGGCGCGGTGGCTCACACCTGTATCCCAGCACTTTGGGAGGCCGAGGCAGGTGGATCACAAGGTCAAGAGTTTGAGAACAGCCTGGCCAACACGGTGAAACCCCATTTCTACTAAAAATACCAAAAAATTAGTCGTGGCGGGCCCCCGTAATCCCAGCTACTCAGGAGGCTGAGGAGGGAGAATCGCTTGAACCCAGGAGGCGGAAGTTGCAGTGAGCCAAGATGGCACCATTGCACTCCAGCCTGGGCAACAAGAGAGAAGCTCCAGCCGGGCACGGTGGCTCATGCCTGTAATCCCAGCACTTTGAGAGGCTGAAGTGGGCGGATCACCTGAGGTCAGGAGTTCGAGACCAGCCTGACCAACATGGAGAAACCCTGTCTCTACTAAAAAAGTACAAAATTAGCTGGGCGTGGTGGTGGGCGTCTGTAATCCCAGCTACTAGGGAGGCCGAGGCAGGAGAATCGCTTGAACCCGGGAGGCAGAGGTTGCGGTGAGCCGAGATCG